ATTGCATCTAATCAATGTCGATAACGTAGATAGATATCGTAATCGACTTGCGCCAAAAACTTATCCAATGGAAATTACATGGTACAAAAGCGACCGTCTTAAATTTTTTCTCGGTCCTTATTGCACCGAAGAAAATTTCAATGGCAAGATATTCAATTACGTGCCACCCTGTGTATCGCTAAGGCGATCAATGACTGGACGCTATATTGGCTTTCCGTTCGCATCATTTTAATTAAACTTATCTGGCGGTCCTTATTGGAGTATCGATCTCTCTCCGCCGGGGCTACGTCTCCGAAGGAAAGTCACTGGCAAATTACGTGTCTATGAATAAAGCTACGATGATAGCTAATACGGGGCGATTTTTGAAGATTGAAATACGTCCACTGCGTCCGCGATTGGAAGATATTGCCCGCCGACACGCTCCCGTTATTCCGGGTTACGTCGACTTCGTTTCTTTTTGCGTCTCCCTCGATTCCTCGACTCATCGATCGTAAGAAAGAAATCCGCGGGAGCCCTCTCGCGATGCTCCTCTTCGCCGATTCTTCGCTCTTCCAGAACACACCATTCGATCTCGTTGTGAGCCTCATCTTCCCGGCATATGCGGCAGAAGTCGCGCGGCGATGCGACGCGATGGCGCGGCGGCGCGCGATAGGAATAAAAAATTTACGGGATATTTTTAAGCGCATCGAGAGAGGAGGAGCGCAATTCGCGACGTTCTCTGCGAGACGCGCGATAAGCGACTTCACCACGAGCGACGTCTTATCGCGAATCGATACCGACGATACGAAGACGTACAATGTCACAACGTGCTGCACGCGCGATGGCGGTGGCGACGGCGGCCGGATATATATTTATCGGGTCCGCGTCAATTTTACAATCTAACGTGATTTACGAGAGCGAATCGCGCGGCGCGGCGCGACATTTTCAATGCCGTAGAAAGGGCCGTTAGGGAGAAAATCGGTTACGTGACGGGTTACGTACACACCGTGGCCGTGAAAAATGACCGGCGTTTGACAAAGCAGCTTCCCTTAAATCGCGCCGCCGGCGATACACCATTATCTTGCGGAACGTCACGCGCGCACGCACACACGTCTGCCCATCTTCTCCTCCACTCCCGGGCAGGCTTGCCCTCGCGCAAAACTCCCCCCTTTTTACACCCCCTTCGTCGCCCTGGTCTTTCGGCGGCTTCCGTGGCGTGTGACTCCATTATCTCACGGCTGCGCTTTAGTAGGAGCAATGCCGGAAGGGACGACGTAGCCGAGTAGGCAAGTGGCTCACGCGACGAAATTCATCAAGCACATGAGCATAACGTGCGCGCTCACGCGCCTCATAGTCTAGGTAGGTACGTAGTAAGCTGATACGAACGGTTTACGATTGTCGCCTGCGAGTTAACGACGGAAGTACATCGATGTTTACTTACGCTTTATGCGCATTGTAATTCCCACAGTTCTCTCTCTCTCTCTCTCTCTCTCTCTCTCTCTCTCCCTCTCTCTCTCTCTCTCTCTCTGTCTTTCCCTTTGTCCCTCCTTCACTTATTCGTTCGCTCGTTCGTCTGTCCTCTCTTTCGTATATCCATTAGTTGATGCGACGCCCCCGGCAGCATTACCGTAATGAAAAGAGCGATGAGTACGTCGCGAGCTGCTACGTCGAAACGCGATTAATTTGATTAAGGACGCGCCGTCTCCCGATGACCCCCGTGAATTAATAAGTAGCCGTGCAGAGCTGATCGAGAGAGGTGTGGAGGAGCTCGCGACGAGCAACGACGCATTCGTAATTCGCCGTCGGGCTCGATAAAGCGCGAAAATTGCGGAGCGCCTCGCGCTCGACGCGTCGCGTCGCGTCGCGTCGAGACAGGCGATTTGCCGGCCTCTTGACTTCTCGGCTCTCGAAGAGACGAGAACGATGTAACGTTAGAACCAAGGAGATCTAATCTGCAGCGTGACGGTGGAGGGGCGGCGTTGCACGCGCCACCGACTAATCCGCGGATGTGTGTACGCGAATCCATCTAATATTTACAGCGCGCCACTCTCGCGGTTTCTCCTCGTGACGATTGTTTCAAGCCGTGGTAAACTCCACTATTGGGGCTCCTTACTCCCGCGGTGTGCACACTCCCGCCGCGCAAACAAGGATTATGTATGCCGAATTCTCGCAGCCGGTTGGAACAACAGACCCGCGACGGCTAATTCGATTTTCCGCAGCTCATCCTCCTCTCGGCGACAAAGCTGCCTGGCGAGCCAAAGCCCGTTTGCCTTGCACTTTTTTTCTCTTTCGATGTTTTCTTCCAGCGCGTCTCTCGGTGTAAGAAAGCGCGACTGAAAGGGTGTGCATATACGTTCGACATTCGCCGGCGTTGCCTGCGCGGCGCGGCGAGGGTGAATCGCATGGGCGACGGAATAGAGAAATTTATCTGACGAGCGACTACGCCTGCCGATTTGATTGCGGTCGGCGTATCGAGGAGACGTAACAAACGGCCCGTCGCTTTTTCATGCGGACTTTCAATTCGACGTTGTGAATTGTGGCCGGTGATCCGACGATTTTATCTGGCTCGCCGGTGCGCCAACGAGCCATCTTTCAGCAGCTGGCTTCCCTGTCGACCTGCGTCTGCTTCTCCGCAAGCCACAAAGCAAGCAATCAAAGAATAATATTATTTGCGACGTTTTTTTTCCTTCTTAATACTCGGGCGAGTCTCACGGGCGACGGAGGAGGACGAATTCTCGTTGCGTTTGAAATTCTATATTTATTTTCGTTGCTTGTTATTGATTAATATCCGCGGAAGTTTGTGAATTTTATGAAAACGAGCAGGATATTTAGACTTCCGAGACGGTAGAATCGATCCGCGGGAAAGTTCAGGAAATAGCCGGGGTATATAAACGGCCGGTGACTCGCAGTTGCTATTTGTTCTGCGCTGACGCGGTGTTAATTACACATTACTGCCGAAGTTGGTGTTTGAAGTGCTTGATTATATTTCACGGGAGTCGCGTTTAGCTGCATTTCCATGCGATCGAGGTGAATTTACTCCGATACTCGCGTCGTGTTCCGGGCCGCAGTAATGAATTTAATCATTCCTCACGGAGGCCTGAGTTCGGTCGTTATCGCGCCGCGAATAAATTTGATAATAGGAGGAAAAATGTCGTATTCCGAATCGAATGTTCCTCGGTAGTTTTTTACGCACGCACGCACGCACGCACGCACGCACGCACGCACGCACGTACTCGCTCTCGTCGGCTCTGCCGTAACATCGACGGCACACGCAGTTAAAGACGTTCAGGACGATTATTCGGCCGACGGAATGTTGGCGGAGCGCGCTCGTAAATATGAAAATTACCCCGAAATCCTTCTTAGTTTTTATATTTTTTATTGGACCGGATTCGTGCTCTCAGGCGAGTTCGCATTTTCGCACAGGCGGACCGAAGTAAAGAGCGGAGAGCAACCGTGGGGTTGGCCGGCCGGCTCGGTGGTGGCGATGTTGGTATATCAGGCGATGCCATCTAAAAATCGACGTGGTCCGCGCACACGAAAGCACAGCCGCGCTTCGGCCGGCTACACGCGAGCGTAAGTCGCACGCGTGAATATCGCTTACGTGGACCGAGCGAGCGAGCGAACGAGTGCGGGACTTCTTCCTATCGTCGTCCTTATCGTGACGTTTAACGAGCGCGGGTCACGTTGTATATCCAAGGTGTATGCTTTTTTATACGGCCGTGCCGCAGTGGTAACTTAACCCCGATGCGGGACCGAGAGATAAGTGATAAAGGTGAGCGAACGAGTCGGCGGGAAGAAATAATTATCCCCATTATACTACGCAGTGTAAACCAGCAGTGACTCTCTCTCTTTCACTCTTGTTCTCTCTCTCTCTCTCTCTCTCTCTCTCTCTCGCACTCTTCTGCCTTGGACGTATTTATTTGACGACTCGCGACAACTTCGCAACGACTTTGTAATAATTTGTATCAACCAGTTTGATTATAATTCGCTCTAATGCTGCATCAAGCGGAGGGAACTTGCATCCTCTATGGTACGATCCGTGTGCATTTCTTTAGGAATCGGGAAATCAGAATCGTGTTTTTAATCGTAAACCGTTTATCTTTGGTTCAAGAAGAGAGCAACTGCGCTCTCGCATCGGAACCGGTATAACTTTCGTTTTCGAATAAAATTTGTTTCACATCGTTATGACTTTTTCGCGCCGAGATATCGACGAGCGGTGAATTTCAAAGAATGGCGGACTGAGGCCCGCCATTCGCTCTGGCCGATAAAGCGCTGCCGCGCATCCTTTGAAAATTTCACGCGCCAATATCTTGCCAAAAAATCGACGTACGAACGTGAAACAAAAGTCGTTCTTTTCTGCGGCTCACGCATCACGCGTTCGCATTTGTCGCGGGTGTATTTGTTACAGTACACATTCACATGTACAATCACTACATGTGATATATACACAATATGTTGTTACAGAAGATGACAAAATAGCGCAATAGTTAATATCGAATATGTTGTCATTGAGAACGGTAAAAAGTTTCGCGCGATTTTATTTATTTACAAAATTCCGCGCAAAAATTTCTACATAATTTGTAGATGCTTTCCTTGAATTTTCAACGAAACAAAATTTTCATACGTATTAATTTAATATAGTGTGGTTTGATAATTCAGTCGAGAACAGTTTGAATGATAAATTTTGCGATCTTACAATTTCTCGTTGCGAATGTCGAGAAATAAATATTCATCTTCTTCGACGAATTAATCGCGATCAAAGCGGGTAAAATCTACAGGCTGTACATTTTAAATCAGATTTTATTCGAATATCTTTCAGCTGAAATATTGTTAACGTTAGAGATATTTTCAATTTTGAGCGATCTTGCGTCGAGAAATAAAATACATTAGTAAAAGACATTAGATACACAATGAGCTGCAACCTCGTATCGTAGCACTCATTTAACAAGATCTCCTGCATGCAACGTTAATTTCTCCGGGCTACGTCCGATCACCATAAAAAGCAAGAGTCAACGGCTTACCTGTAGATTGGCGTGATGTCACTCTTGTACCAAACGACCAAGATAGCAGAATCGTTATGTCGCGGTGGACGAATATCGCACGGCAACTCGGCCGTCCCATCGAGGACCGCTCTCGTGGGCAACGGCGGTCCTGCAACATGAAATACTGATCGAATACTCGCCACCTGCAACTTCCGTCATACGGACGGAAGAGTTTTCTCGGTAATTTAACAACTAAAAATAGTGAAAACTTGAAAAATCGAACGATAAGTCTTTCGAAATTGCCAGTGTCATGACAAGAGAGAATCTGTTTCGCGTTTTCTGACTTATGCTGATTTGCGCACATAGACGGGAGAAAAAAATTGACTCTTAATCGTCGAGTCGAAGATCCAAGGTTGATCGAAAAGTTTTATCGCAATATGCGATGAGTCTCGCGTTTAATAAGATATCAGCGTCCTTATATGTTATCGCGTTACCAGTAACTGCGAGCAGTTATTCCCAACGTAGGGAAATCCGTTTTACTTACAAATAACGGGGTTGACTGACGCGTTGAGCGACGCGAAAATGATTGTGTTTCACAAAGAGAGGGAGAGAGAGAGAGAGAGGGGGGGACTGTCGTTTCCTTTAGCGAAAAACACGCTCGCGTATTACCATGCGCGCACGTACAGCGTTATACACCTGCATCTGCCCTCAACTTCAATCATTTTTCGAAACGCGCTTCTCCTCCTATATTACGCCGACATGCCGTGCAAAAAGAAGACCATCGACCACGAAAATCTCCTCCCCCCGTGGGCGTAAGGCGATCATTTCTATCGCGTTGGAATTCTAATTAATTTTCGTTCACGATCGTCACCGGGCCGCGGAGCCGACGCGTCCGCTGTCGCTTTGAGCGGAAACAAAAGGAGGACAAACAACATGTCGGTCGGTTGCGCTTTTGCCGAAATATCGCGTCGATGGGCGACGCGTCCCGTCAACACTGGGCAATAACATTCCAATATCCATACCGTTCGCGACGCGCGGGTTGGGCTCTCGGCTTGGTCAACGTTTCGTTCTTCGTTCGGAGATGCGAACGATTGGATATTTTCGAGGTGAAATGAGAAGAGTGAGAGAGAAAAAGAGAGAGAGAGAGAGAGAAAGAGAGAGAGGGGGAGGAAGGTAGGAAAAACGCTGCTGGACGAAGACGTCGGAGCGCGCGGAACGAGGAGTCGCGTCACAATTTCGCGCTCCAGAAAGCGGCGTTTCCAGCGGACGCTCACTCCTTCCCCCCTCCTGCCCCCGACATCGCCAGTCCGTCCGTCCGTCCGTCCGTCCGTCCGTCGTCCGTCGCCGGGTATTGAAGGATCGGCGAGAAATATTTGCGGAGGAGAGGCAGCGCTCGCGTGAGATGGGTAGAAAAAGAGTGTGAGAGGGAGGAGGGAGAGGGAAAGAGGCGAAAGCGAACGGGATGGCGAACGGACACAACGCGGCGCGCCGGAAAGCGGAAACGGATGTATATACCGGCCGGCCGGTTGGCCGGCCAGCAGTCCGACCGTATTAAAACTGAGCGTCGTGAATAGGGGGATTTCCTTCCAGTCTGTCGAGCCCGTAGAGGAAGCGCACAGCGCGACACCGTTCGCTCGCTCCTCCACGCGGAATTTTTCCAAATTTTTCCTTCCTCCTCAGCTCGTCCGGAGTGTCAGACGAGCCTGACGCGCGCTCGCTCAGCTGCGACCGATCAAACTTACTTCGAACTTCGGCACGAGACAAAAGGCGTCGGTACAAAATGGGGTCGAATGAAAGCAGCGACGGATTCGATCGGCTATTACTAATTCATCCTCCTTTTTTTCCCGTCTTCCTCTTCCTCTCTCTCTCTCTCTCTCTCTTATTCCTTCTCTCCCCCCCACTTTCTCACTTACTCTCTCGCTTTTCGTTTTTCCTCGATTGCTCGCGTGGGAGCTATCGATTTTGTAAAACAGACCGCCGGGTCCGGTCTCGCCGCGAATGTCCGCCGGGAGCGAGAGAATGTTTGTCGAGGGTAGTTTCGCAAACTTTGCGGGGGGAATTTTAATAATGATACGTTTTAATCGGGAGCGTTTTGCGGCACGGAACGCGCGCACGTGTGCGCGCTGGCGACTCCGATTGCCCGCAACTTCACTTCGTGTTGCTCCATTATCGCGCTGCTCGACGATCGTGCGGGAAGGTATCATCATTGCCTCACAGCTTTCTGTCCGTTTCTCCGTGATTTTTAAGGGTCACTTGAACAACTTGAAGGAAGGTGGCGCAGCCGCCGCCGTCGCTGTTTTTTTACTTGCACCTCCTAAAGTAGGGTGCTCTCACGTGGATGCGTGGCGGTGGCAAGAGTGTCGCGGGTATTCCATTATCAAACTTGGCGAAACCTTTATCTCCGCGCCTCGTCCAATTTCCAAGTCTCTGTCGCAAGAGCCATTTCTCTTCCTTACATTCTCGGCCTTATGAGCGATAGTTCACACGGCGGGCGCATATTAGGTCTCTCGTTCCAAGTTTTGAATTTTTAAGCAGAATTTTCACTCTGTGCCGCCGTCACTGCCGCGGCAGAATATATTATGCAGTCCCTAATTTAGCGTCCTGGCTTCTGTCGCTTCAGTCGCGCGTACGGTCGGATGAGTTTACGCGAAGGAACAAATGGAGAAGCGGTTTCACTCGTTTGAATGTCTTCCTTTCTCGACGTTTTCGCCAACGACACTTCCACACGAATCCTCCACATTTCAGCGCTGAATTCGCGCGATCGATGTAGGAAGCGTCGACCTGGCCGATTAAATTATTCGAATCGGAATTACGATCTGTTGACTGATCTCTCGCGGGGTTGGCGACGAACATCGCTAATATCCGCGCTGTACAGCGACAAACCTATTCTCTCTTGTCTCTCTCACTCCCTTTCTCCCTTTCTCTCTCTCTCTCTCTCTCTCTCTCTCTATCTCTCTCTGAGGATGATTAGACGAGGGTAATCCCGTTGCGTCGAGGTCAATGCATCCGGGTAGAGACGCTAATTAAATTTGCAGACGACCGAAGTGGCACTCTCTCTTTCTCTCCCTCTCTCTCTGCACTCGCAAGGTGCGCGCTTTTTTTTCCCACGCATTATACATTTAACACTGGATACGGGATCCGTCTCGCCGTCTCGCGATCTTTACCGCGAGCTTCTCCATTTTTCTCGCGCCCGTGCCTCATAGAGTTAACATTAACGCCGTTATCCCCCTTTGCCTCCTCCTCCTTCTCTTGCATTTTCTCCTCTCGCTCTTCGGCAGCAACACGGATGCTTTTATCTTAACCACCGTTATACGTGGCGGCTATCTACCTGCCGCGCTACTGTACTGTATCGTGCGGCGCCGTACGGTACAGTACGGTACGGTACGTTACGTTACGCTACCTACGTAGGGATGTAGTCTCGCGTGTACGCCGGTATAAGCGTATAAAATAACGCTTTTCATGGCGTTCGCTAAATTTCCCCTGGGCTGCTCGCGGTGCATTATGAGTCCTGAAGGGTGACAACAGGAGCGGATCGCTGCTGCCGTATCGGAGCGGCGTGAGCGCAGCCTTGTTCCCGCGGCTTCGCGTGATCTTCCCGTCTTCGCCGGTCGCGTCAACGAGGACGCATGCGGTCTAATGGCACGACAGTCGCGGAATCGCGTTGAAAAGCGTTTTTGAAAAAAAAGAGAGCCCCTGTGTGACGTTCCTTTGGAAAAAGGGGACAGCGAGTCAAAAAGAGAGAGAGAGAGAGAGAGAGAGAGAGAGAGAAGAGGGGGAAGGGGGAGAAGTAGAGTGAGAGGAAACAGGAAGAGGAAAACGCGTGAACACAACGAGAGCCGGTGCAGCAATCCTTTCCGTCGATGGACGCGAACTGGGAATCCTCCGTGCGTGTCACGTTTCATTGAGGATTTTTTCCACCGTCACGCGCGCGAGAATGTCGTTGTTGTCGTGGTGGTGCAGCGGTGGTGGTCGGACTATTACTTTGTGAGAGCGTTGCGCCGTTATCGTGATGAAAATATCACGGTTGTTACGTACTCTTCGCCGTCCGTTCTCTCGTAAAGATTCCCTCCGCTATACGTGGGAACGGTGGGAAAGCGAATATTTTATTTCGCATCGAACTGGCTCTCGTGTAATCATTTGCCGGCCGTTTTATCGGCGCGCAATCGAAAACATCTCGCTTCACGCGGCCGCAAATCGATGCCCGGAACAGCCGCGCGGGGCCTTTTTACCCCGATGAAAAACAGAATTTTTGTATTACATGTATACGTAGTAGCGGGCACGTCGGAGTGAATTTCCGCCTCCGTGGGAAAGAATAACACTGCGTACGTGATACCACCCGCCTCGCGCGAGAGATAGCCTCTCTTCCTTTTTCATCCCTCCGGGGATCCAATTTCGGAAATTTAATACAGCGAGCGCGCGCGCGCGCGCGCGCGCAAGCGAGAGCGGTAACGCGCGCGCGTAGCTCGCGCGAGAATTTGGAAAATCGCAATCCCCCTCGATGATTAATCTTCGAAAGTCGAGCCTCTTCGTCTAATGCGAGCCGAGCGAAAACATGTTTGGCCATTCGGTCTGTACAACAAGAGCGCAAATAAAAGAATAGAAAAGAACGAATAGAAAAGTTCTCCGCGAAATGCTCGCTACATTTCAGACACGCGCCACGAATGTACCGTTGAAAATGTAAAATTCAAAGCACAAAGCGCACCTTTGAGAATTTAATTCAGCGAATGTGATATAGAGAACGATATTTCACGTATTACGCAACCTGCGTGAGAAAGGCGTTTTCGCGCAATATTAGGTGTATCGTGCGACAGGTCGCTAATTAGAAATACTTTGACGCGTTATCGTTGCGATGATGACGATCCTTTCTCGCGCGCGCACGATGCGGTCGGCTGTGCCTCGCTAGCACGGATATTTACCGTGCAACGTGCCTCGCCAGGAGAGAAAAGTGATATCGTCGACGCAGCGGAAAAGCCACTCTTTATAAAACGCTGCTGAATCGACGCCGGCGGTTTCCATATACCTGGCCGGCGCCTCACGGGTTTACACAAGTTTCGTATGCTCCGCGGAAAGGAGCGCCTCCCTTCCTCTTCCCCCCCTCTCTCTCTCTCTCTCTCTCTCTCTCTCTCTCTTTCTCGGTAACAAGGAGAGGCTGTCAGCGAAAATCCAGAG